GCGAGGGAGACAGAGGAGCGAGGAGGTGAACGGAGGAGGCGAAAAAGAGAGGGAAGATCTGTGTTTTTATTTAAGCGTGCTGAACGTCTTGAAAGAGTAGAACCAGCTGCTATCTCCGGGCGGGGAGAAGGGGGAGCGGAGGCAACGCGATCAGTCTAGCAGAACAGATTTTGCCAGCTCAAGGGTATTTAGAGGCCTTTATCTGGTAAACAGGTCAAGGTGGGGCCAATATATCCTCACATGAACCAGACAAAAGACAGCTTTTAGCGTTTGCTTTTTCAAACTAATTGTTTGGGCATTATTGCCTTTATTTTGATAGTGGACAGTTAAGGTGGCAGGAAAAGAGGGAAGAAAGAGGCGACTGAGATCCCTGACCGAACTTGAACCGCGAACGTTGCTATTATTGTACATGATCAGTGTCTGACACCCCAAGGCCAGTGAGACCAATGCCAGATTACTCACCAGCCAAAGTGGGCACCTGCCATAGGGCCCCAGATCTGACCTCAAAAAGCCCCAAAAGCCCAGTTTCCCTGTGTGTCAATAGATTTTTGACTTAAGAACGGGTTTACTTTTAATGCTCAAAAGGTTTTTAAAAAGTTTTAAATAATTTGATGAATTACTTTATGTTAGGCTGCTGTGAAGCACCTGTGGTGGTGAGTATCTGGCGACACCGCTGGACACTACTTAGCATCATGTGTCTCTCCAGTCATCTGCCCACTGGTATGTGGCAATTAGATGGTTTTGTTATCAAACACTGAAATTCTTCTGCATTGAGAGGAAAACCAAAGAAACACAAGAGGGATGACGTGCAGCAAATGGTAAGGTACGGTAAGGACACATGGTGTGCACTCTACATGGTGCGCCCTTTCTGGTGCCTACCATGTAGTTTTACAAACAGAATTATTAAGAAAATCACGTCTCTGTCCATCAGTGAGCATAGTGTGTCTTTTCTTACAATTTAAAGGTCCAGTGTGTAACATTTAGGAAGATCTATTGGCAGAAATGGAATATAATGTATATATGTACCAATCCAAGATATAAAGATGGTTTGTGTTGGAGGCTTGAAGATAGTTGATTGTTGAGTCTCATTTTCAAAGTATCTGTATTTGAGGCCCTGGGAATGAGTCTCAACAATCAACTCTTTCTTAGCTCTGATTGGTTGTTTTCATTCAGGCCTGGTAGATTCTTGCAAATGCCATTAGGAGAACTAGAACAAGCCAGAGTATCTGTCTCATGTACTACTGTCAGGATATAGAGAACACTTCAGCAAATATGACAAAAATACTCACTGCAGCTTTAATAATGTTAAAACAAATCTACTCTTGACATCCATATCGTTAACATTGCTTCATATTTGTTTTTCTATTTTTACATTAAATGACAACCTGCAGATTTAAAGAAAACACTGCATCAGGCAGACAGAGGGGCTGGGAATATTCAAGTTTATGGTGATATGATTTTCTCTAAGATGTGTTTTGTGGTTACATGTGCTCATTCAGCTTTTCTGGAAATACATTAAAGCTCTTGTAAAGTGCCTCGATGATTCTGTAAGAGGAGCCAAGTGTCGCCTTGCAAAATTGCAACCAAAATAAACAAAATGTGCACTAAGTCATATAGATGTAGACTTTGTCATTGGTTTTCCCCAGAATCCCTATGGCCATAAATCTTGTGTTACTTCTATATTTGACAAGCGTCCATCCACTCCAAAGAAAGCACTGGCACTAAGCGATCCCCACTTGAAATACATACTGTACACAGTATTTGAAAACCACAATTGCAGGTTTATGTCCATGAGAAGCTCAAGCGATGATACTGCTGCAAAAAAATATTCCCAACAGTATCAGGTTTTGTTTGCTGAGACTCATTTAGAACAGATTCTGATTAATTTTCATGTAAAGAACATCATGAATCCCACTTGTAGGAAAATGGAACAAATTTTGTTAGCAAGTCATTTCCTTTTTTTGTTTTGTTTATACCAAATGTGAGATTACCCTTATTTTGATAGGTAACATAACACATTGATCTGTTAATGTGGAGATATTCTTCAGGCTGTGTGTATTGGGAACAATTATGTTCAGTTTTCTTTGGCGCCGCTGCCTCTGCTTCCGTTATCGCCCTTCACAGATTTAGCAGGATCTAATGCGTTTTTCCAACAGCCTGTTGTACAAGTGCCTATTTAAACAGGCTTATTACGACCGAATGATCTCATCGTTGTTGGTCTGATTAAAAAGAAAAACAAAGATAACCTTGTGAACTTCAGTACACTACAGAGTACCAAATGTTTGCCATAAGGGGCGCCCAGGAAGCTCAGTCGGTAGAGCTGGCGACCCACGTACTGAGGCTGAGTCCTTGCTGCAGCGCCCCAGGGTTCGAATCCAACCTGCAGCCCTTTGCTGCGTGTCATCCCCTCTCTCTGCCCCCCTTTCCTGTCTAGTCATTCGGACTGTTCCCTGATCAAATAAAGGCAATAAAAAAAAAGCCAAAATGTGTGCCATAAACCAGGGGTTCCCAAACATTTTCCTGTCAAGGACCCTCACAATAGATTTCTAGACCGCTTTAGACCATTTCTTTCCTTGTTGTTCCAACTACCAAAAAAATTCATAAAAGTTAAACTATTCTATTCCCTTTAACAACGCACTCAAGGACCCCTGTTGGTCCCTGGACCCCAGTTTGAAAACCCCTTCCATAAACTACTACTTGGAAGAACATTATACGACAGGTCTTAAGGCTTCTTGTCCATCACAAGTCACCCATACTAAATCCCACTTAAAGAGACTTGCCCCTTATTCTCTGTGCCTAAAAACACAGGGGATTATGGGAAATGACAGGCGGGATTCTGGAGCTTTTTACAACCAGGGGATGTGGTCACAGCATCTTGTTAGAGTCCCTTTTACTGTTTTTCTATTTTCAGAGCCTCACATGGATTAGTGCGACACATCTCACAGGTGCTCATTACAATGACCAGTGTCACCCCTTTCCTTTCCTGCTTCGACCGCACGGCCGTGAGCCGCACTGGGCTGGATTTGACACGGAGCCTGTAAAAACATCTGAGCTCTCTGGAGGATGTGAATCCAGGCCTGAAAGTACAGGAGATCCACTCTCCAGCTCCCTTCGAACCAGGAACAGGAACAGTAGTCAGTGCACCTCCTCATCATCACTCTTGTTACTCACGCACTGTGCCCGTGTATGTTTAATCTGAGTGTTAATGGACTGTTGTGGAGGCTGGACACTCTGTGAACGGATGCAATCATGATGTCCATGTGTAAAGAGGCCGGGGCCGCAGTACCTCTGTGTGTGTGTCATCAGCGTGTTTCCATGCAGCTCAATCAGTGGCTGAACTCAAGCATTGGAGGAATAGCATGGAGAGCAGTCGTGTTTATTATGCTGTATTAAGTTTTAGTCAAAGAACATCTAAGAGCGAGCAGGTGCTTCTGAGCTCCGAGAGTGTTTGTTTTACTTTGTAAAAGAGCCTGGTTTGGGAGAGCGTTTCATTAAATCCCTTTTAACGAACAGCAATTAGGCTCACTAATGAGACCCTGGGTTAGATGTATTAAGACCTCTGGTTTATCCTGCTTTTTTCTTCCCATTTTTGCTTCTTTTAGTCTTCCATCCTTCTTTGTTTTTTTTCTCCTTGCTGCTTTAAACTCACACAGATGCACACACACATACGTCAGCCCTGTCTGAGTTCACTCACCAGTGTGTCTGAGCTCCACTGCCTTCAGTCCCTCAGCCCCAGCACCCCATTGCAGGTTCTCAATGCTTCTTAATTTAGACAGCCTTACCCTTGTTCCAAATAAAATACCTGGAGGGGGAAGGCAAACTCATAAATCCACTCCTCTAACAACAACATCCAGAATGATCTCTCTTGATACTAGAGATGAGCTACTACTTCTCCTCCCCCCTGGGAATCCAAAGTGATTGATTTACATGCAGGCTCAGTCCAACTCACCCGAACAGTTTAGGAGACAAAGTAGTTCCACCTGCTGTGCCGCCATGCACGCCAGGCTGAAAGGGATAGGTCTCTGCGCCTCCTGGCTGTCAGTGCGCCAAACAAGGCAAGCACCAGAGGAAATCAGTGGTTTCATTTGCCATGAGATACCCCTTTTCTCAGTGAGCCTCCGGACATCATGGGTGGGCAGCCGCCAAACAATAAGGACAGAAATTTGTTCTTTAAGAGGGAAGGGGTTTAATCACATTGAATAAAAACATGTCTGCACTACGTTTATGAATCATGTCTGGGAGCATGAACTCATACAAGCTGCCTACCATACTGTGAAGATATCTTTCTGTTTCTGTCTCATATGACTTTTGAGTGTGGTTTCTGTGTGTACAATGTAGTCCAAAGTAGGATTTTCCTGCCTTTGACATACTTACAAATTATTCTCATTATATGCCACAGTGTAAAGTTGTTGTAGTCAACCACTTTAAACTGCGACTGGGGAAAATAATGTGCCTATATACACATTTAGATGTAAAATATTGGTATCAGTGGCTGTTCCACGTAAAAAAAAAGTGTATTTACCTTTGCACCTCCATGTCATGAATATGGCTTAACATGTTGATTGAGTCATTAACTTTGAACCGAGTGAACTTGCTGTGTCTAAACAGAGAGTATCCACCCAAATAGACCGTTTTCACGAGCCAATGTTTGTCTGCAGGACAGCGCCAAACCAGTAGTGAGAGAGGAAATAGGCTCTCAAATATGCGGTCATGTGGACACTCTAAAAGGAAAGCATACAGGCATTTTATTATTATGACAACATTTGACTTGACATTTTAGAGTCTCTGACCATGCAAGTCACAGCACTTGCATACCCAGAGTTTGACCTACACAAGTAGATTGCAGTTAGATGCTGTTAGTGCACATATATTTAGCATTTTTTTACCTTTACATTTTCATCCTTTATATATATTTCTAATCTAATTATCATCCTTTATTGCCCACAGGAAGGCTTTTTTAAATTGTAAATCTGTTTGTGAAGTTTCCATTCCTATTTTATACTTTTATTTTATCTGTTTTTATTACCCACAGTTTTTATTCAGGTCGTATGTCTTATATTGTTATTCATTTTGTTATTTATATCTTGACTGTGTGTACTATTTTATTTTGTTCTGTGAAGCACTTTCTGTGTTTTGAAAAGGGCAAATACACTTTATCATTGCCTTTTTAGTCTTAAAAGTATGCTACTCTGCATTTGACTGCACATATTGTATGAGAATGTGACAAACACAATATATAAAATATGTTCATTTCCAAAGAAACACCATTAATAAGTCTATTAATGACAGAGCTTTGCGTTGTAATACATTGCACTGTAGTCATGTCAGGCTGTCTCTCCCCCTGTGGCTCACACGTCCTTCCTCTCTGCTACTCTTTGTCACTTATTACGGGTTTCATTTGGTAAGTTCCAGCGTTTGGTGATTTTTGACCCGAGTCGAGTTCCGTTGTGTTTGGCTGTATCATAGCAACCAAAGGGGGCGGGTACGTCTGGTAGAAGTAGCGTGTGGTTTCCATGGACACCGTTGATGCCAAACTGTCGGTAAAAGTTTGGAAATAGAAGAGAAAGTTACAATACACGGTGAGTTTGCTCTTAATACGTGTTTATACCAAACAAATGATGGCAGAAACATGTAACGAGTGTTTTATTGATGAGGGACAGCTGGGAATGGTTGTAGTTCGGCTAACGTTAGCTCAAAGCTGTCAGCTAATTCAGCTCTGCTAACGGGCTAAAGCGTAAACTGTAACGTTAATACGTTAGTTAACGTTAGTTAACGTTAGTTATCTGGTTAACGCTGGTCCGTTCTGTCTACGTCGAAATTGCAAATATTCAAACTATATAATTATCTAATAAGTAATTTTAATAAAGTAAATACTGTAAACCCCGAGCCATTATTGAGTCCTTGTAGGTTTTTATTTGATATTCAAGATATTGAATGCAAGGTGAAATACATATTTCATTTAGAAAAGCAGCTCCCAGTAAGTCACTGCGGATAGAAGGCCAAACTCAAAGCTTTAAAAGAGGGTGAGCTTACTAACTGTTATAGCAAGATTTCAGGGCAAAGGAGGATTTTTATTAATATATTTTTAATGGCTTGGAGTGCGCTCTTAATGGATTAAGTGTACATTCCTCACATTAAACATATCTGCTTTCATTTTGACAGAAAATATATTAGGGTTGCAACTAGCAGTTATTTCCATTATCAATTCATCTGACTTTTTTTTCTTCTCAATTAATCATCGTAGCTATGAGATATTAGAAAATGGAGAAAAGATGACATGCTGTGATGTCTGACCAAAGGTCCAAAACCCAAAGATATTCAGTTTAGTATCACATAAAACCAATTCAAATAGCATATCCTCACAGTTGAGAACCTGCAGCTAGGTAATGTTTGGCATTAAATATATCAAACAAAATCTCACATGGCCTCTTATTTCTGTTTTCACATGGGGCCCCAAGCCAAAAGTTGATAAAATGTGATTCAGAGTAAAGCGAGGCATCATGCTGAGCTCTTAACAAGCCACACACTGTTTAAGATAGAGTTGTTTTTAACTTTTAGTTTCAGAATATCCCAGCCGGTGCAATGGGGGTATCGCTGACCAGGGCAGCCCAGTGGACCCCGGCCAGCTCTGGTACTGGCAAACTGGAGTCCACGCCAATGAATGAGTCCTTGTTGAAAGAAATCCTGCGCTTTGTGGAGCAGTTCGGCTCCCAACACCCACAGGAGGCAGAGCATGTGTTCGAGGAGCCGCTCCGGTGGAGTACCACTTTAGTGGCATCTGATTTCAAAACAGACTATGACATCAGGTTGGCCTAATCACGAGGCAGGCAGCTGGCTGGCCAGTGCTTTCAGTATTACGTGTCTGTGCAGGATATGCTGTCACCATGGTGTCCAAATGTATTTTACCTTGGCTATACTCAAAGCAGTAGGCTATAATTAATTTGTTTTTCAGCTTCACTTAGACTGAGTACATTCCTTTTTATTTCATCAGAAGTTCTGCTCTACTTTCAGTGTGTGGTTAGCTTTCTATCTCATAGCTGGGAAGCGGAGAAGTACAAAAACAAAAATACAGATTCTGATCTTCTTCAGCGTATTGGCATTTATAATCTCCCAGAAAACAAGTCCTTATAGGGATAAAACTGAATTATTACAGTTTTGTTGTTTTCTTTTTTCCTTAGTGACGCAGACGTACAGTCCCATGAGAAAGACAGTGAAGGGCGTCCATTGTTGCAGCTCTCCCCTCCTACTGTTTATGTACGCAGCTTCAGCCAGCTCTCTAAGCTAGTTCATCTGGCAGATGATAAGAACCTGGAGGAGGTTCGAGCATGTCTAGAAGGTAAGCATGATGACCACAGGATGCGATTGAATCTAATTTGCATCCTAAGTAGTCCAGCCACCAGCATACCTCCATAAACCACAGACTTAATTTGTTTGTCCTCCTAGTTACTCTCTACAACCATCCAATTATGCTGCCATTGGTAATTCTTCACAGATATGTATTTACTTAAGGGCCACTGCCAAAAAGAGATAAGGTAGTATGCATTTGTCTGACAGAAGAATACATAATGGAGTTTTTATACAGAGGGAATGTTGGTTTTGTGAGAAGAAAAAATGTAGTTCATATGAGGCCTGCTGTGTTGTTAGTTCATCGTTTATGGAAACACTGTGATCGGCCTCTCAATCTGAAGATAACTATCTTTTGCTGTTCAGAGAACAGAGACCCCGTGGTTAAGATTCTCGGTCCCAGCTTTGCCGGCATCCTGGAGAACGAAGGCGCCCTTACTGATGTGCTAAGTCTGGTAGGCAAAGAGAAAGAGCAAGGCGAGGACACGGAGGTCAAGGTCAAGCTGTTCCTGTTGCTCCAAAATATGGATAACCAGCTCCTCGGCAAGTGCCTCAAAGAGATATCCGAGTAGGTGTTTCTTCTGTCTCCCACTCCCTCAGCATTCAATCTGATTATCTATGCATCCTCCACGGCTATCCTCTTTCACTCAGGCCACACCGATTTGACTGCGACATGTGGTTGTTTTTGATTGGAATAGGCAGTGGGTTTAGAAAAGGAACCATGAATGAATGAGATGAACTGGGATGTTTGTTTTGTTTTGTTTTTCTACATTTTCATCATAGACGAGTCAGGCTCGACCCCACCGCAGTGAAGACTGAAGTGGAGCTGTTGAAGCGGTTCTGCAGTGAAGGAGAGAAGAGGCTGTTGAAGTCGGTTCGATACACATCAGGTTTGAATTATCTCCACATTTCAATGGGTTTGCGACGAAAACCAATTGCTATTAACACCAATGCTGGATATTCTGAAGTATAAAAAGTCTGTGTTCTGCCGCCACAAAGACATGGAAGTCATTATATCTGTCAGATTTTAGGTTATCAAGTCGTTAGTCAGTGCATGTTTTTTGCTTCATTGCAGTGTATATATCGTGTCCTAACAAAGCATGTGCACACCAAGTGGTATAAGCAGTCTATGGCTCCTTTTCTCAGGTTGAACCGACACCTTCTATGAAAATACTCTCCCAAACAGCCTTAAATTATGACAGTGTCACCATGTGGTTCTGTTTTTTAGTGGATGATTTATATTGCAAGTGAAACTATGGCTCTACCCCGGGCTCATGTCTTTAGCCGCCCAGGAATATTTGATGATTTCTCTTTTTGCTCCCCTGTTTCTTCCTTTAGAGACAAACTTGTTGTGACTTGATATCAGGCTGCACTACATAGTATAAAGTTTGCTGCAGGATATTTTGCAACTGCCAACTTTTTTTCTCTCTCTCTCTCTTCTTTTTAGATTACGAATTTTCAAATGGCTGTCACGCCCCTCCATGGAGACAGGCGCGTGGTGAGATTTGTTACCTTGTGATTGAGCCTTGTGACACTGAGACCCTCTACATCACCTGCAGCACTGCTGGAGTTTTCCTCAATGGGGTAAGACTAGGAAGATAAAGCACTGTGGACTACATCAGCTGCAACATTTAACGTATGTTTTCTTTTTCTGTGTGAGAAAATTCAGGGAGGTTGCTTTCTGCCGTGTCATTTCTGTTAGGCCAATCTGTCATTTCACAGTCAGTTAAGTGGCAACAAATTCACCTCTGTATGTTTGGTATGTGGTGCTCCAGTGATGTAAAAAAAAAGATGTATTCAGTGCCTTCAGTGCTTCTCTTCAATCATAAATCTTGAGTGTAAGAGGTAGACCTAACAAAAGGTAGTTACTGAGTGTAACCTCTTCCCCAACGACTGTCACAATGCCAATCTTATACAAACATCAAAGCACAGAGTTCATTTAGATTATCTTATTGATCCATCCATCGTCTGTTCATCTGTCTGTACTTTCTAATTTCTGTACCTTATAAACTTATAACTTATGAAAGCTGGAAAAGATTGGGGATGTGTCACCACTATAGCTGCCCCTCATTGATTCATATAGATATATTACTGAAGGAGCCACACAACTTCAAATATAGACAACCAGCATAATATTCCTCACCTATCAAACAGCACAATGCTCTCACAGTATATTAATCTCATGTTAATCTCTCTAATGATGGGAAGTATCAAAATGCAAATTAATGGTACAAACTCTGATCCAAATCCAAAATCCAGACCACCAAATTTCAAAACGCTGGATCTGAAGCAGCAGTCCTTCTCAATTTACACATTTGCACTTTCCTTTTTTCCTTTGTTTGACCATGTAAACTTTTGTTGAGAATTAAATCTCCTTTTGGAGAGAGACCTGGCATGGTTACAGCAACGAATCAAACAAAGGAATGAGACTATAAGAAACTATCACATGCTACAAAAGAATATAGACAATATGCAGTTAAGACGCATACACTAGCAACAGTTATGAGTTTCCCTAACTATCAAAATAAAGTTGATTCATTTAGTAGGCATTGACCAAGAGTGTTTTTTTACAGATCATTTAAAACTGACTTGAGTTGACCAAGAGTAATCACTTCTGACATTTTGAAATCCTTCTGTACAGCGGTCTACAAGATAACCACACCCAGTAATAAAGCGTGGAGCACAGTGGTATCCTGCATATACACATCTTCAGACACTGGCCATGTGCAGTCATTAAGATCAGATCATAATCTAACAAAGTTCAAACAGTTGTAGATACCAGTTTACAATACAATTCAGACAACAGCTAATGTTTTCTGTTGCTGTTAAAAGTCTCTTAATGATAATGAATGTTTGGAGCATGAGTAAAACAGGCCTGTGGTTTAATTATGATCAGATGACAAACTGAAACTCACGGTATGTTCATAAATATACCTAAAATCTGTGTGCTGAAAAACACCCACATACCTGGATTTTAAGTGTCTCCCAAAGATGAAGTGTACTATTGTATAGAGAGCTTCCAAATGCCAGGAATCTCTGGGAATGTGTTTGCAATCAATTGTAAGAGAGGATTCTGCATGCTGCAGCACCTTTCACTCGTTCACTGACTTCGCTGACAAGCCTTCTGTTTCTTCACCTGGAAGTGCTTCGACCAAGGTGAAAAAATTACAACCTTAAACCGAACGGGTGACATTGATGCAAATGAAACCTCAAAGAGCAGCAGTGTCTTAAACATAATTTAGCGGTTAACATGGTTTTACACTTCCTCTTTGAGGCTGCCTGGAGATACTTTGAGCTCTCTAACCTCAGCTATTCCAGCTGACATGTGGGTCACATTATAATTGTGGTTTTTCGAATTAATGAAGCTGTTTTTCACTTTACTTTCACAGTGCATAAAACAGGAGGGGGAGGAGGAGGAGAGTGGCTATGAGCGAACAAGTGATACATACAAAGACCTGGTAACACTTCTGAAGAGCAGATCTCTGCATTTTGCTGAGAACGCAAACAAGCAGGTACAGTGGAATACAGGCAGAACACATTAAGACCTCCCTTTTTGTAGCCTTGAATTTTTGCTCTCCAAGCAAAGATGTGTGGGTGTTGAAACGCCTCTTTGTCCCATGAACAAGGTCCTTCTCTCTAAACCTCTGATTTGATCCCTGATGCTGTGTGACTCATATTCGTAAACAGAGTTAGGATTGTGTAATCAGTGTCTGTGCTGTTCCATGCTAGTGAGCTAGTGTCTGGTTGTCACTGTGTTGAAAAATTTCTGAAGCGACCTCCTCCGTGTTTCAACATCAAAACAGCAAAGCCCCATCCCACCCACCATCCACATCCTCAACACACACACACACACAGACACACACACACACACACACTCATTTCCAGACACTGAAATATGCGTGATTTATTCAGTAGTGCTATTTCCTGCTTTAGTAATTTGACGACATAACAAATCGCCTCAATAATAGATTCCAGCTGCACCCAAAAAATCTGTTAATCATTTAAAAATATGATCTGTTTTTTTTTCTCACTCACACTGATGTTTGTTGGAAAATGTGGCATCATCACAGGCTCATCAAAGCCTTAAAAGACCACTCACTACTCACTGCCTGTTTTGTCTTTTCTTTGTTCTTAAAAGAGGGAAAGGCAATACGTATATTGTTTTTAAAAGAATGTTATTCTCAGCAAAATACAGTGTAAATATGATTCAGAAGAGATATTCTTTACCCAAAGTGCAAATCTTGCTGTCAAAGAAAGAATCAAAAGTACATTTTTCTCAGTAATGTTAACGAGGATTGACATGGAGAATAATTTTTCCCAATGATTTCACAGAACTACAAAAGACAACAGACATATTTTTACAAAAAAGGAGCTAGGATTTATTTGTACATTGCTGTAAGTGCTCAACCTTTGTTATTATCCATGCTGGATGGCAGTGTGGGTCAGCTGGTCCGCCACTTTGGTCCAGACCGAAATATCTCAAACATGGTAAACATTGTATCTACTGAACACCAGCATGTTAGCATGCTGAGATTAGCATTTAACTTAAAGCACTGCTCGCACGACTGTAGACTCTCCTTGTTTATATAGTGCACTATATTTACTCCATTTTATTTGATTGTCCAAATAGAGCAAAAACTCCCACAATGGAAAGAAAAAAGTATTGTCCATGGCATGTACAACTAAGCAACTTTGTGCTAACAATCCCAAAATGCAATGTTCTTCATTTTATAGATGTGAAAATACACCTGACAGTGAAGACACAAAATGGTGATAATTCAAAAGTGTCCAAAATCTCACTTTACGGCTCACAATAGAGTAAATGATTGTGTGTCGAGTACTGTATATTAGAGTTTAGAGTGATTTGCTAAAATTAAATTAGCGTACACAGTAGAATATCCCTTCCATTATATTTGTGAAGTTGGTCCACGTGACTTTTTTACAGTAGAAGATAGATCTGAAGGTGCTGTAGAAAGCTGGAATGGGGTTAGTGAAGACTTTAATAAACCAATGAGCAGTGCCAGGCTGAACCGTGTAAAAAAAAGACATTCAGGCTTTTATGTTTTATGACTCCTGTGTGAAGAGTGATGCCTTGAGTCTGAACCATCTAAAAATGATAGACAGCAGCAGTAAAAATTGCTGTGAACGAGTTAGTGGAGGCACAAATCATTGTCAAGGTCTTTTTCTTCTGGATTCTTTAACTCCTTTGATATGTGCCTCTCAGTGTCCTGTAACTTTAGTTTCACTCTCACTGCTGAATATTTTCTGTCTGCCTCTACGTGAGCTAATCACCTTCATATGATGGGGTCAATTTAAAAAACGCATTGCTTTGAAATGTATTTGATTGATTGCTGACGACAGCAATCAAATGCTTCAATGTGCATCCTATGTCTGAGATATTAAGTAATTGCAGTCATTCTTATGGACATGGTCCATTCCGGTTTTAATTTAACAAAGCAATAGCAGCGGTGTCTGTTACAAACACAATCTCAAATAGCTTCGGCTCAGTTCCCTGATTGCAACGCAGAGAGCCCGAACTTGCAAGGCGATAGCCAAAGATAACAACGTCTAATCTCCAAACATATCTGCTCCTTTCCAATGTGAGGAAGCAGGTCTTTTTTAACAGTTCTATTAGATCAGACAGCCTCAATCAATTGAGCAGAGGCAGCCAAAGGAGACGACGAGGGCTGTAACACAGGGAGGAAGCAGGCTCGCCTTCTCCGTTCAGTGTTGTGGATTCGTTTTGACATCACAGCATGATTGGAAATTGGACATGCTGTGTATTTGCATGCACAAGACGCTAACTGAAAAGCAAAAAAACGCCCCGATTGTAGATTTGTTTTCGTTATTCACATCCTGAAATTAATATAGACTGCCTCACTGTCACAATCAGTCAGTGGCGGCTGTGTGAATCTTGCCACTGACAGATGTTTTATGGCCACTGGCTTCGGATTTGCTGCCCTGCTGATTTTCCATCAGTATGGATCAAGTAATTAAATACAAGTCTACCCCAAACACATGTAAATAGTTGGAGTTTAGATTTTAGTAGTCAAACGCGTGGAAAAAAAGGACAAATGAAGAAATAAGTACGGTGCTAATGATTGAATGTCACCTGCTATTAAAAGAACTGCAGGCGTCAGTCCTGCTCAACGCAGCATTTGTCTTCAGGCCAGCGGTGTTTTCTGATGCAGAAAGGCACCTGTAATAGGACTTTTTACTGTGGCATGTCAAGGAATTTGGAGTGTTCCCTTCTGTGTAAGCACATGGACTTTGTCCATTTCACATATAATAGAATTAAAGAAGGGTTGGTTAGCCTAATAAAGTCAGACTGTGGGTCTGTGGTTGGGTGAATTGACTTGTATGTTTCCAATAGCAGGTCACTTTGTGTTTTATGAAAAACAAGTCTTTGGAAAAGCGATTGGGCATGCTTGGCTCTAGCTTGTGTGTGAACACAAGCCATAGAAATACATCTTAATTCTTTTTCCCTGCCCTTAAAAATGTTGAGCCCCTAACAAACAATGACAGTCTGAGCTATTTCTGCAGAGCAGGTGTCTGTGATTAAAAACTCTCCTGCCTGCAAACCATTCATATGTGTCTTATTGGCATTCGTATATAGGTTGTAAAGTTTGGTATAAAGACCTTCAAAACTTCAAAAAAAAAATATATATATCATAACTGTATAACAGTGACACAAAGGCGTTACTTTGTCTCTGCCAAACTGCAAGGTTTTAGGTGGAGGAATGTACAGAAACAATAAACTTTTTGATATTGTTCAGCCAATTAACAGAGGGGGACCTCTTCTGCGTAAAGCTTTGGGAAAGTGTTATTTTATTCCAATGCCTCAATAAAGACTGAATTGTTATGCAGGTCTGCATATTGTTGAGAAAGGGCTTTTATGTGAGTTTTATGTTTTTCATGTGTCACTGATACAGCTCTGTAGTTTTTATATGCCTCTTCTCAGAGTGAAATGGCGAACACTTTGTCAGACATTAAAACGTAATGTGTCTCAAATAATGACGAGAGAGGCATCATGTCAGATGACTGGTGGAAAATGTGGCGCTCAGCTCCACAAGAAGCACAAGTGGACATCAGAATGACTATTTTGTTTTAATAAGCATCATTGAGAGAAATTTACAGCCCGAATACGTACGGTTTTACAAACGAAATTTATTGTGTATCTCACCACTAGAATTTTGGTGCGAATTGAAAGAGATCTTTTTCCTCGCTCCCCAGCCTTTGCCTTTTTCCACTTACCGACAGGATTTTGCAGCTCAAGAACTTCCATCAACACAAAAGATCCAGCATGTGGAATCGGTTGATGCGGAGGAACAAGGCCAACCCCAGAGGTCTTACGAGCAACAGGAAAAGAATGTGCATGAGAAGGCGAGACAACAGCATACGCCGAACAAGGCAGGCGGCGAGAAGAAATATGAACCATGTCCGAGATGGAAGAATCTCGGTCTCATGTCTCCAAGTGGGTATGTGATAATTCCTCTCGTAAGATGTGTCCTGAAATATCTTCAGGCTACCACGTAATGTGCGTGGCGGGGATCCCTTTCGTTGAGATGAGCTTTAGATGACAGCGATGCCAAGCCCTTCGTCACACGTGCTCAGTGTGTCTGCCAGCGGTCACACATTATAAAGAGATGGTTATATGGTTTATAAATTTTAGGGCAAGTTCAGATATCCCTGATTACACAATGATCTGAGTTAATAAATACGTTCACAGTGTGGAAACCCTTTCTGCCCAATTACAGACAGAAATGTTGGGAAAAAGTCTTTAAAAAAATCCCAAAAAGATCTATCACATATGGTCTTTGATTGATAAATAGATCTAGCAAGGGCTGAGCTGTTGCAGCTGTACCTTGTGATAACTATACCCATTTGAGGAGAATCTGGCTCATGATAAAAGTATCTGAATTGCTAAAAAAAAAAAAATGCCTGCTGAACCCTTGTCTAGAATTGTTAAATAATGATTATGTTAGAAAAATAACCATTTTCAAAATAGAAGCAGGCATAATGACTCTTATTTCACATCATTATAGTAAAGCAGAGGAAAAGAAACCCGGTAAGAGCTCTGGAGAGGAGAAGTCTGGTGAAATACAGAAGAAAAAACTGGGGCCGGGAGCCAAAAGCAAGATGAAAGCGGAATTCTCTGTGTCCTCTTTACCAGGACGTCCGTCCTCTCAGAAAATGTAAGTGTCCCGAATTGGTTCTCCTTTGTGAGGATGTATAATCTCTGCAGATGGAGTTACCTACTGTACACAAGATTTAGGAACTGATAAGAAGACCTAAATGCTGTTTTACCAGACCACTGGTGACATTTGTAGTGGAAACCTGTGAATATATAATCCATAGTGCTGAACAAGAACCTATGTAAAAAAGTTTTCTTCCTCCAGCTCTTGGCAGCTATAGCTCCTCAGCTGTCTCCTTACTTGCATCTGCCAATGTACACAGACTGCTAGCGTCATAAATTGATGCTAGCCACTGTTTACTGATAGCATTCTTCACTGCTCATCAGTTAGTGTAAAGGCAATAAAGACGCCAGGGTGCTTTCACTCAATCACAGTCATGGCTGCACACCTCCCAGGACAGCGTGTAGGCCTGGCAGCTTTGTGAAGGTCTTGTTCTGTGTCCATCATGTTGCTTCCTGGAAAACACTCATATCGGCTGTCTCCTTCTGATAATACGCTCCCCTGGCAATGCTATCTGTATGTACATGGGAACTGTCTCTCAGCGGCCCCATTTGAATGCGTACCAAATTTCATTGCTCCACAGTGCCCAATTTTCATCATACAGTTATCCAAGTGGCCTGAGCAACTTTAAAAAGCCATCTGCGTTTCTGTTTGCATCAATAGGCTAGCAAGGGTCTTTGCTCTGTATATGATGAAGACTCCAGTCCTCCCATGACATTATTCCAATCTTTATTTCCATGCTGCTCGGATTCTGAGGAAGTTCAAACTTGACACTTGAATCTCAAAATCCTTAATGGGTCTCCTTGTGTGGGATGACCGGACTGTTTTTCCGTTTAATATGCAGGAAAAGAGATTTCATGATATTATATTCCATCCCTTTTGTCTGGCTGTGTATTGTGTATTTGTTACACTATCCCACACCTTTGTAGATTGTTATCTGAGGTCTAAATGCACTGTTATCTGCTTCTTGTCTGTGCAGTAAGACCCCGGCGGGAGCCGCGCCAGTGGACGCTTTCAGCGAGAGTTCATCTGAAAGTGAGGAGGAGGAAGAGCAGCCAGAGCGCCGTCCAGAGAGTAACACAGACCTGCCTTCTGAATATTGGCAGATCCAGAAACTGGTCAAGTACCTCAAGGTATGGGAATATTACCCTGCACACTGCTGTTTCCTTCCTCTGATTGATTTCAACCCAAAAGTGATTTGTACAGAGAGCTACACTACTGCAGGCAAAGGCAGGCCACAACTGACAGGAAACAATAAAGCCCATGCTCTTTTCCATTTGTCATCTGTGCTAGAATTTTGATGCCTCGTCAGAAAAACTTCTTCAGAATTGCAGTGCACGGAAAATAATATTTAGACATGGAGGTGTAGGAGAACTTGATGCTTGGTATCACGAAAAGCTAATTTTCCAATCACATAATCGCACCTGTCTGTTTTGCCTCTGTCATTACCAAGGTGCCACTCAGCAAAAAAGACGATGTCAGATGAAATAAAGTGTAGGTTGCTTCCATTTCAAGCGGCGCTTTGTAGGAAGACGCTTATTGAAGTGGTTGGCTCGGCTCGTGGATTCCTGGTTTCTGACACAGGCCTGTTTGGTTGCACATGTGAGCCAAGGCACAGGGGGAAAGAGCTGTCTGACGGCAGCAGCTGTACGCACTGTTTGCCCACACCGCATAAGCATAAAAATGAAGCGCGCTCGTGATAGGTCTGACAGGGCATATGGTGAATATTAATGTGTCAAAACATGGAAAGAAAAGAAGAGAGGATAGAAATGCCAATGACCCAGACTGGCTGGGAATACCTCCGACCACTTGACTTCAGAGATTACCCTACCTCACTGAGTGGTCTCTATTATCTATTTATCTGGACAGTGTCATTCAGGTTATATTAAAACAGACTACGTTTACTTTATTTTGACAGGAATCTGTTTTGTTGCACGTTGCAAACCTGTCCTCTTCTATTTAACAGTAGAAACACCTTAAATGCTGCTTCAACTTAAAGAAAATGAAATGAGTTAATGTTATTTCAATGTGTAACAATAGTCTACATTACATAGTTTTGGATTTCTTGATATTACCAACAGATTTGTGTTCTGTGGCTTGGGTACTAATCATTCAGTAGCTCTTTTATAGAAAACACTGCTGTAAAGTTCAACTCTAGGTAGATATTTTTAGCTTAGCAAAATAGAATATAATAGAAGGAAATTCCCACTCTAAAAGTAGGCTGCTATTCATTCCCAGAAAGGAAAAAATAAGATGTAAATGATATGAAAGAGGCAAATTCAGATAAAAAAAAAAAAAAAAAACCTCACTGGTTTGTATATTTTATACGTTTCAGCGGGACTGTGGCGTGAGCTCCAGGGTTGTGTGTGTTCCTACTTCAACAAGATGCAGCACTGCAGTAACCAACATGTCCCAGCCTTCTATCTGTCTGGAAACCACACAGCACAGTTATTTATGGGGTTTGTCCAGTAGTCATTTTATAATATCATTACCATCAGACGCTGAAACCTACCATGAGCCAAGTTAAATATC